CGACCGTCCGGGGCCAAGCGGTCGATGCTTCGGCCGATACGAAACGCCCTTGCGAACCAGAACGTTCGAGGTGGGCGTTCTTGGAGACTTCGTCATCCCTGCTGCACGTTCTCATGACAAATGAGTGATCGAGGCGATGTTGTCGAGATGTGCTTCGGGAAGCTTTAAAGGCTGATCGCAAAAGCTGTGACCGATCATCGAAGAGTCAGTCATTTATACTTGATCAGTTCTTGTACGCAAGTGAGGATTATCAACATGGCCGGAAGTCTGTCAAGCATCAGCTTCTGCATTGAGGGATCAATCGATCTCCTTGTCAGCTTCAAATAAAGCCATGACAAGTCTGCTTTGGATCCTTGATCTCATTCTGTGAGCCCCTCGCTCCAGAGCACCACCACCTGAAAAGTCGTTCTGTCTTGCTTAACTGCTGCCCATCAAACCCATGCCATGTCCACATGATACATACTTGGTGGCTGCTTGTCCAGCTTATGTGTTAAAGCCCCGGGTATCAAGGCATGTTAAGAAGGACGACTTCTGAACGGTCAAGGATGAAGTGCAAATGTTCCGTACCGCAAAGTCAAAGCAGTGTGGAAGAGTTCGTTCAAACCAATCGTACAGCACATTGGTGACAGAAGATCCCTTGTGCCTAGCGATGGCCTCCAACCTAAGCCTAAATGTTGCTCCGAAAATCCCTGGCATTCCCGTTAGTGCCGGTAGAGTCTCATCTCAGGCAGGTTAGCCGTGAGCTCAAATCAAGATCGGTTCCAGGTTAGCCGAGGATGGCCGAAACGTTCCGTGAAGAGCTGGATGGATCAGACAGTGCTCCGATGGCGAGATCAAAGGCCTTAGGCGCCTTCCCTTAGGCAACCTTGCCTTAAGTCACTTCCTTAAGCAACAGAACCAGGAAATGATGACGCCAATGACACGAGGATTGATGCGTCCTCATTGACCTATAGCTGTTGTTGGGCCGAAGAATCTGTCCCCCCTGGGCCAGGTTGGGCTCCGTTTTCTGGGCTCAAGTTAGGCATCTTACGCTGCTAATCTCAAAGAAAAATCAAACTCAAAAGGCTGGCACAAGGCGTCGTCCGCACAGCTGTGAAAATCACTTGAAGCATCGACTTCGCCACCTAAATCGTCAAGTCCATGGTGTAACCGTATAACAGTACGGTTACCGTCGGCCTTTGTTGGCCTACTGCGTTCTTGCTCGCTACGACCACGCGCCATCTTGTGCCTTTTGCGATGGACTCTCCAAGCTGTCTAAAGCTGTCTACAAGCTCCACACAAAGCAGCCACAAGCCAACACAAACAAAGTAGAGACTTTGACTCTGCATCTCCAAGGGCTTAAAGCTAACAGCTTGCTTCAGTCTGCAAAGCAAGCTGCAAACACCCATACTGGTCTTGCCAAACTGGTAGAAGCTGTGCAGGAGTCAGAAACAAACATCTCGATTTCGAGGCCCATGTGCCCTTTGTTCCTAGTAGCTTCTTGTTACTAGTAAGGCCAGGAGCTACTAGTAGCTTCTTGTTACTACTAGTAAGGCACCTGTTACTACTAGCGTGGCACTTGTTCCTAGTAGCTTCTTGTTACTAGTAAGGCCAGGAGCTACTACTAGCGTCCGATCGCTCCTAGTAGCGATGCCCTTTGTTCCGTTCGTAGCGTCCTTTCGCCCATGTCCAGCCCACCCTCACGAGCACAAATCTTCGGTGAACTCGGTGTCCGAAGATGTGCTGTGCACAAGAAGATTGTCGGGACGTAAAGAGATGTGCTGTGACATGCTTGGCAACAGTCCCAAGCGCATGCGAATCAGAATGATCGATGCTGACAAGTCAAGCCTGCAGAGGATCTAAGATGGTGCAAGCGTGTCTTCGTGCTATTTCCGGTACCCTATTTCACTCCAACTGTGCCAGCAATGGGGCGAGGACTTGCTACTAGGAGCATGGACGCTACTAGGGGCTCCTGGCCGTACTACTACTAGGGGAATGGGAAACGCAAACAAAGTCCATGGGTGCCAACATGACACCATCCTCAGCAATCTCATTCGATAGCGAAACTAAACGAGATCAAAGCTTGATACGGAAGCTAAACGCGTCTGTTTTGTGCAAAATGCATCTAAAGATTTCCTTCTTTCCATTTTGTGGATGACTGCACAAGCGCTTCCGGAAGACTCATCTGGTTCACAGTCGTGTGCTGGGCGGTAGCTCCGTAGATCCTGGGCAGGTCATCCTGGTTTTCGCAGAAGCGGCCCTTCTGTTCTGCATAGCTGACAGTCATGGATGTGGGGGGGGACATCCAAAGCGGTGTTCCTTTCCATTTGGCCGAGATGACTGTTCATCTTGCATCTTCTAGTCTTGGCACTTGGACAAAACAATCTTTCCGGGACTTTTTATGTCAGTTTTCAATGTATTGAATAAAGAAGCAGATTTTGATTGCAGTTCATCAAGAATCCATGAGGGGGCGTTTAACTGCTATGAAAATGGACGAAATATGTATGACAATTCAAAAAACAAGTGAGCTTGGACATTCTACTGCCTCACTTTTGCTTCATGTGTACTCCAAACAGTAGGTCCTTTCCTTGGGTCGTGAGCAAACATGCAACCGACACAATACACTCAACACGACCAGGGGCAAGTCCGACAAGCACGTATTACAAAAGATCTAACTGGGTGACTCTGCGCACATCAAATTTCAAAGTGGACTGAACGACAAGGTTGGAAGGGGTTAGGCCAGTGGCTAGATTTGGGGAGTTTACCTTATCTTTTTGAGTTGAGAATGCACTGCAACCGCAAAGTCTGACCGTCTTTCTTCATGTCCGGGTGATGTGATCTGCCACAAAAAACCAGCAAATCCGGACGTGGGCTACAAGGGCTACGAGGGCTCCATGGGCTGCCAACTTGAACCCCACATGTGTCCATCATACACAAGCCCGATGGCTGCCGCTCACAAACCAGAAGCTATCAGCTGGCAGCAGCTAGTAGCTCGGAATCAGGATGTTCGGTTCATTTCCTGAAAACTTGAATGCTGGCAAAGCGAAACTAACATTTTGTCTTGCACGAAATTCTTGGCTTCACTGAGATATGTGATTGTGCCGTGTTGGACAAGTGTTTCCAGCTGGGGAAAGCTTGAAGAGCATCAAATTTCACAACGATTGGAAAGTTGTTGCGAATCTCTTCAGGGTCATTCACTGCCACAGGTCGTGATGGTTTTTGAGTTCAAGCTGAGCTGTCACGGCCCAAATTGCGCTTATCATTGCGTAAGAATCGGATTCAAGCTCTGGCATCAAAATTCGGGCACTCCATCACGGCCTTCTATATGCAAAGCGGAAAGGGACAACCTCGCACAAGCTTCAAGAAGAATCGAAAGAACATAGGGACTGCGTGACCCTCTCATCTGAAGACAATGAAACCTTCCCAAGTCAATATTGCTAACGTCCAGAAAACGGGGGTGCAAGGGAACCGTTGAAAAGTCCGTCTCAATGCACATAACATACTAGTGACAAGGGCATCGCTACTAGGAGCAAGGACGCTACTAGGGGCTCCTGGCATCATCTCTTTTAACTTTCTTCCACACTACTTCTTGCGCAAGGTCTCCTTCGCATTCCTTAACCATATGATGCCGTGCCGCGCTCTTGAAAGACACCTGAGTCGTTCGTGAAACGCCTTCCGCGTCCTGCACCAATTTTTCCGCAGCCCTCATCTCAACACTTGTTCACCAACATTTGCGCACACCCAAATAGCAATGTTTCGTACGAAAGCCGCACCGCACGCTCACCGGCAAAGCAAAATGCCCCATCCGGCACAGCGACATCCAACAACAACAAATGTGCACCCAATGGCACAGCGACCGCACCTAGACAGGAATTCACGCAATTCTACACGAATCAGACGCTACATAGCCGCTACAGGTAATCCATCGGACGCTATTTCATATGAATCGGACACTTCTCGCATCCGATGTTCGTTCGTACTTCGCGTGTCTCCCACGGACGGCATGGTCCATTTGCGGAGCCCCGACACCGAGGCGAACACAGGTCCGACCCGAGGCGGAACCCTTCTACGCGATGCGGGAAACATCTACAAAACACCCTCGCACTCCCCAGCTGACATGCGATTGACTCTGCGCCGCTCAGTTTCAGTGAATGGCTGAGGCGCTACTTTCAAGAAAGTTTCACAGTCAAGTTCACTCACATTGCACAAACACACGCATGCGCCTGCTCGCCAGTACTGTCACAACGAAGCAAACATCCACAGCAAGGCATGCCTCAGGGTGGAAATTGTTCCCACAAACATTTGATTCCATATGTCCAACTCCTACCAGGTCTGACGTTCAAGTTTCCCCTTGCTGGTTGACCAAGGTAAATCAAAACTCAGGTTTGGCGGTTTGGCGTGTCTCAACCGATGTTCACACACTGAGATTAAAAGAGAAGAACACGACGAAATAGTCCTCACCCTGTCACCGATGCCGATGCCCACCTCCACATTGAAGCCCTCTTGCTCGCTGTCCAAGACGCCCGCAGCAGTGACTGACTGCATTCATCTACCAATCGCTACGGCTCAGGCAGTGCACTCTTTCTATGCGTCATTGCGCATCTGTCCGCAGATCTTAGAACTTGAGCAAGAAATGCGATGACTTAGCCCTCATCACTGTCATGTCAACACATCAACAACAGAAGCATCATTACCAATTTGGTGTGTGTGTGTGTGTGTGAGTGCGACGCAGCTACTGGTCCGAGGGTCATGTTTCTGCGGACAATGTTACAGGGAGCTTGAGTTTGTGGTATGATGGTCATGCGTCCGGCGAATTGTGTGTGAAAGTCCAAACCTGTAGCTTGAAGGGGTGTGGATGGGCAGAAGCATGTGTGTTCTTCAAAAGCAGCTTGAGTCTGACACCCAAAGCCTTCAGCAGTGGAGTCCAACAGGTTGATGAAAAGGAAACGAACATGATCCATCCTAACGATCCTGACCCAAAACAGAAATCAAGCCGATTCACATTGATACGCTGCATGTTTCTCTCATCGCCAATCTCGCTCAATCATCTCAATACCTTCTTCCCTGACCTGAGTTTTTGCAAGGCCTAAGGCCTGAAAAAAGAAAAGGAGTTCAATCGCACGCTTGCGTAAATGGTGGAAGGTCGATTCTCTTTGCAAGAAAGCCGTGAAAATAGGGGTGAAGATATCAAAGAGATCACATAGAAACAGATATCAAAGAGAATCCTCTCAAGGCTTTGCGACAGTGACCACTGGCTGCTGAACTGTCTGAATCTGGAGTGAAACCTGGTAGTCTAAATCTGGTATTTTGCACTGCGGTCCAGGTGGCCACTGCATGGCATAGTACAAGAGTGGAGTCATGGGTGGTTACACTTGCAGGAAGAAGGGACTATGGGCTATGGGGGAAAAAGAAAACAAAGGACCAGGAGACCACAGGACCAAAGGACGAGAGCACTGTTTGTCAGGAATGCCAAAACTGTGCCCAGCGGCGAGCTCTGGACTTGACCTAGATCGGAAGTGCTGAGTAAGTCCAGCGGCTTCGCCAAGAAAGATCAAGGCAGTGACAACAAGAAGCGATGTGCCGCGCATTTGTGAAGTGAACGCAAACCACATCCTCAGCTCACATATGAGTCATATGAGTTTGAACGCGAAAAGTCGACACAGGTCAACTAGACTCACTAAGACTAGACATCTTCAAGGAGTGGTGGGACCTTGTCAATAATTCTTTGCAAGAGCTATTGCTGGTAAATACCCTTAGCTGATGCTTGTTTCCACACTGGGACACAGGGAAATAGTTCTTCCAGACCCTCCAGGTACAATCAAAGGTATGATCCAACACAAGTACTCTTTCAGAGGCGCATCTTGGGTTGAAACTAGTTGAAACTGAACCTGTTGAGCAACTTGAGCAAATACAAAAAGAATGTCTGTCGCTCGGACTGACTTAGAAGAACGCTTAACAAACTGTGCGGAATCGTCCCTTCCACAGTCGGACTGAATTGAGACATATCTCTGGAAGAGAAGCAAAATGCCAACGCTGAGCTGCATGTACTTGCGAGACATGCTTGCAGTTTCTCCCTGTTCGAGAATGGGCACATTCGCATGGAACTCACTGGCACCGATCTGGAACATCAGCAGGTTTGTCATCACAGCCATTGACACGGCTGGAAGCAAAAGCCTACAGGACCAGCCAACGAAAGACAATGGTGGCCGGGCCGAACTCAATAGGTTCAATCCAAACTTATCCAAGCACTGAAGCCGATCGCAATTAGGTTGGAGGCCATTGCTACTAGGTCAGAGGCCAATCCAAGCACTGAAGCCGATCTTGCAAGCAGCCACAAACAAGATCCAAACCGACTTCAATATGTGAGAGAAGGCACGGCACGAAGGGGCTCCAAAGAAGCACCACCTGCCAACAGGAATGCCGTTTGGCCATGTACTCACCGAAAGAAAGGAAAAGATAGGAAGGGAAAAGGAGCAGAGAAAAGAAAAGAACAGAACAGAAAAACGATCTCGTTTATACTAGGTCTTGTCTCTTGGTTTTATGCCCATGGCCCATGCACTCTTTCTCTCAGCCCCTTGAGAGCTAGCCAAACGCAAGGAAACGCAGAATGAGAGCGCCCGACAGGAAAACAGGGAAACGCAGGGTGAGAGCGCGAAAGCCCCAAGCTAGCACATGCATCAGCACAGCCTCCCATCCCCTTGAGAGCAAGCAAAAAGCAGGGAAGCGCGAGTGAGAGCAAGTGAGTGAGCGCAACCAAGCGAGTGAGGGAGTGAGCGAGCGAGTGAGCGAGCCAGTGAGCGAGCCAGTGAGAGAGCGAGTGAGTGCGGGCGACAGGCGATGGAGAGCGGACGACAAGATGCAGATAAAAATAAGAACCCCAAACAGCATCGCTACTAGGGGCTCCTGGCATCGCTACTAGGAGCAAGCACGCTACTAGGATGCTACTCGCTTGCTCCTGGAAAAGAGGGGTCGGCGGCACCAGGGCGTCAGCGCTTTCTATAAGAACCCCAAACAGCTTGATGTGGAGAAAAGGAAAGAGCCTCGGCCAAGGTCACCAGGAATGTGGCCTGCTGCGCTCGGTCCAAGCTTTTGCTGGTGCAGATCTCCCAGTGGAGGCCTCTCGCAAACATGTCTAGCAATGCCATCAGCCGTATCAGGAGGAAGTTGAGTCCAAGAACCACTGCATCCTACTGTTGAGCGGTAGAATAGACAACAGTATGTAGATAACAGTTAAGGCCTTTAAGAAAGTAAGAAAGCGCTGCCGTTAAGGTGAGCAATAATGAATCTCTCCCTTGCAATGGAGGGGGAGGATTTACTTGCACTTGGTGCTCAATTGCTTTTGCCAGCTGTCAAGGCAGTTGTTGGCCCATGAGTATTCCAAAAATGCAGCCACCATCAAATTTATTACTAATCAAAGAACATATCAGGACTTGGTGAGTAGCTATTTTTTTTCAGGTTAAGTATGATATCGTCATCGTTCTTTGGTGAGTGTATTATCGTCTTTGTGGCTAGAACCTGCGTTTTGAAATCGCAGGACCATCTCTTTACTTATGTAGTCTTCCGTGAATTTTGACTGTACCTCAGGGTTGACAAGCTGTTCTTTCAGATTTTCGTGTTGCACTCTGCTGCTTCAACTTCGTCAAACAGCCAAGAACTGCCGAGGTCGGCCAAACACACCAAGTATCAAACAGTCATGTGACTTGCTTGGACAGTTTGCCAATAATTACAGCTGCCCTTGTAGTTGAACCAGTTGCTTGATCGTGAAAGAGTGTTCTGGAAAATGTCGTCTCTTGCCATTTCCTCTTGCCATGTTTCTTTGGTGCGTGTTTGTGACGCTGGTGTTGCGTCTTCCATACCGTGTACGAGGCTACAGTATACTCCATTGCGACATCGCACTCGTCTGGTATTTGACTGCACCGGTTTACCGATTTACACCGGTTCAACAATGAAATCCAACCGACCTAGACACGACATCAAATCTGCCGTTGCTGCAGCTCAGATAGTGGTACCGTAAGCTTCCGCTATTTGGCAACGCCCAGCCTATCAAATAGCATCAAATAGCCAGTTCTAATACTTACTCAGCCAATTCGCACAGCGCAAAGATAGACGACATCTTAAACTGTTTGGCCCTATATATGTAAATCTGTAGACCTGCGACCGTAAATATGGGTCCTCCCGTCAGAGCCGGCGTTGAGGGTTGTGCTCATATTGCAGAGTGAGCCATGAACTCTGTCAATTCAAGGACCTATAGACTATAGCTATAGATATATAGCTTGAGTACACTGATGAGAAAGCCATGCCCTCTTGATGTCATAAAATGATGGATGTCGATACATACATTGGCTGTTGGCCCGTTGGCAGTAGTATTGCCTCATATTGCCTCACATGTTTGGAGATGGATTGTTTCTACTGTGGCCATGCACTGCTGCACGCAGCCTTCCCAGAGCATCACATGATTGTGCTACCAAAAATGATAGTAGGGGCACACACAGCGCAAATCACGTAAACACAGTAAACCCACGTAAACCCGCGTAAACCCGACGAAACACACGTAAACCCGGTAAACACGTGTAAACCCGTAAACCCATGCAATCAAAATCAAACACATTTCCCGTCGCACTGGTATACTCGGTATTGAACTGCATCACATGCATGACATGCGCCACTAAAGGCTCATTGCTTCTAGTAACAAGTGCATCGCTACTAGTAACAAGTGCGTGACTAGTAGTAACAAGAAGCTAGTAGAAACAAGAGCATCGCTTCTAGTAACAAGTGCCTTACTACTAGTAACAAGAAGCTACTAGTAACAAGAAGCTACTAAAGGCTCATTGCTTGGTCTCTGTTTGTCAGGAAAGAACGGTGTCGCGACACGACGCACCTAGAAACGCCAATGGAGAAAAATGAAGCTCGCCATTCACTTGCTTTGACAGCTTCCATTGCAGCAAAGTGAGGACCTAGCGCAGTCTGAAAGAGGTGACCTGTGACATCAACTCTTGAGTTCAAAGTTGAACCTTGTCCAAATCCTATTCTCTCTTGACCTGCTTTGGTTCCAAGTGCAATGACTGAGATGTTGGATGAAACATAAAACAGCGGCATGTCCCATTATATTTGGATATCAGTACTTGTATCCCTCGCATCAAAACAAGTCAATCCTCTTGAGAACAAGCTACAGGCTGCAAAAATGCACGCTGGATCATCTTGCTCAGGAAGAGTGGCCCAAGTGTTTCCACCACCGATCGCACGCAAGCCTCGGGAATGAGCCCGATTGCACAATTGTGTTCATTCCAATTGTAAGCGGCGTTCACACCCATCAAAGCGCGCTGCTTGCCCTCAAGTTGAGAATCTGAAAGGAAGCATCAATCTGGATGTCTACCCATATCTGCTATTTTACCTAGCTACCAAAACTTAGCTCGAAATGGAAATGGAAAACTACGGATTTGCCTCAACGCATCCGAGATGCATCCTTTTGCCACCAATCATCCTGTTTGTCGCCTCAGGATAGGTGATGTCACGGGTGATGTCTCAAGCAGACTTCAGCAGCCCTTCAGCCTGATGTTGATTGAAACACAAAAAAAAACGCACTTGAGCGTATCGAGAAAGAACTGCAATGAAACACCAAGGCAGGCACATAAATCTTTGACCGGATCTAGAAGCTCGTGGCTGCCCAAGTTTATCTTGAATCTGTTGTAAAGCTCCGAGTTCTGCTCGCACATTGTCCAGAACCTGAGTGTCTTCTGTCAACTAAGTGTCGAATGTCTTGAAAACGAAGTCTCTTTTGCTCCACAAGCCCCCAGTAGCGTCCGATCGCTCCTAGTCTGTGGCATGCAGATCATACAGTTTACGACCGAGAAACGTGGTCCATCCGCTCATACAGTGCTCACTCATATAGATCGTGCAAAGCGTAGCATTCAGCCACGATGTGGCTGTCCGTGCGGCCATCAGAAGCATGGAGCGTCGAATCGAGCCGGAGAGCTTGGAAAACAGAAGTGCAAGCTTGGGCGTGATGAGCATGTCCTTGCATGGGGAAAGACCAAAAACGCACGGAAAACAAGAAAAACATTCTGCACGGACTCGTTGGCCCATTTGACAGCATTGCAAACATTGCCAGGAATCAATGAGAAGCATCGTCAAGGCAGCTCCATGATGCAGCATACCCAGCACAAAGGAATTTTCGATCAAGGAGTTTTGCTTGGGAAGTGTTTGTGCGAAGGCATAACCCAAAGATGGTGATGACAAAAGCACTACAACAAAAAACCAAAGAAGCCACCATGATGACTTCCAAATCATGTCCCTCACAGTCTGCTTTGCAGAGCTTCTTGCTCTCGTGTTGAACTGCTTCTCGGGCTTTGGGACCGATCGCAGGCAGTAAGCGCAAACAAAAACCCATGTCGACCAAATACATGCAAGACCAAGCCCGGAACTTTCATGCTGAAAGTGGGCCAAGCTTGTCTTGGCAACTTGTCTGCCACATGTGTAATAGCCTGCATTCCACTGGTAAACGAGGATGAGGAAGACAGCCAGCGGAGCAAAGTAGCAAGTCATCCTCAACAAGTAAGCATGTGCGAGTCGTGTCCTATCTTCATGTGACAGTCCTATCTGTCGCAGATGCACTGTCCAGTTCTTGATGCTCTGTAGACTGGCAAAAAAGAGGCTCACCAGGGCCAGAAACGTTAAAATCAACGTTTGTAAACGTGAAACTGGGACTTTGATCCCAAAAACTCTCAGAGGTGAAATGTAGAGGAATGGCTGTCGGTCCCAGTCCGACACCCAGCTTGGCAGATCCTCCCAATCATCTCCAAGCATGTTTCCAATGATGATCAAGGATCGAAGATCAAGATCACTTGTGGCTGTGATGTGCGGTGGCAATAGACAGGAGAGTCGGTTGCTCTGCAACAAAAGCGCAGGTCCCCGGGAAGAGGAACTATGGCACCAGTCCAGTGATGCTGGACATCCATTCAAAATCATCTGCGTCTTGTCGGGCGTCAATTCAAAATCATCCAATTTCAATCCATATTCACTGAAAAATCTGCATGTGATAGCAGCGGGATTTCCATCCTTCCATCGCCCTTCAAGGCTGAAAGAGATGTCGTCAACACAACCTGCTTCTAGCCGCATGGGTGGAATTGATCCGTTTAGGTCATTAGCGAAGGCTGAGAAGAAGGACAGTTTTGCAAAAGCGCTAAAGTTTTCCGGAATGTCTCCAGTCAGTCGATTGCGGTGTAAAGTTAACAATTGCAACATGGGCAATCGCGCAATCTCTGAAGGGATTTGGTCTGTCAAGTCATTCCTGTGCAGTGTAAGAACTCGCAAAGAAAGCAACGAGCCCATGCAACGTGGAAGCTTGTCCTTGAGCTTGTTGTCATGAAGATATAGCGCGACAATATGTTTGAGATTGCAAGCAAATGACAAATCCATCTCAATCTGGTTGTGCTGCAACAACAAAACCTCCAACTGGACGTCCATTCTTAATGTCCAGAACGACTTCAGCTGATTGTGCTGCGCATAAAGGCGCCTCGAAGCAATCGGGTCCAGAAAAAAAGAAAAGCAGTGCCGGTGGACATTTATTAACATTTAGCATTGCTTCATTGTTAATTATTCAATGCATTTGTGGAATGTAAATCTCACTCAAGCTGCTTTTCGGGGTCTGTTGAATCTTGTCCTCACCTGACGTAACCTGACGTATGATGACCATTCCCTTGGACGAAATCAGTTGCAACCAAGGTTCACCAAGCGTGGCAAGTTGCCCAAAGATTGCGGCAGTAAAGTCAAGCTGTTGCTCTCCACATAGAGTTCCCTCAAATATAGGAAAAATGAAAAGAAACAAAGAACGACAATTGGAAAACAACCAGGACGAAGAAGAAGGAAGAAAGGTCCAAAGGCCCAAAGAAACAATTACGCCGGCCTAAACCCCAGATGGCAAAAGATGTTTGTGCGCAGTACAGAAGTGGCCTCCTACAGCGGCACCAGCAACCATACTCCAAAGCGTGCACAGGCATCTCTTTCTATGCTTGCAACACAGCAGCGGCACCCTATAACAACACCAGCTCCCCAACGCACACAACAGCGGCACCCTGCAACAGCACCAGCACCCAAGCGCACACAGCAGCGGCACCCTGCAGCGGCACCAGCACCCAAGTTCGCAGCCATGCTCCTGGGCGCACCAAGCAAACTGTTCACCAAGAACTTCGAGTCAAGATGCTCCAAATTTTGGAGGTTGCCCATAGACTCCGGTAGGGATCTCAAATGGTTGTTCTGCAAATAAAGCATCCTCACACAGCCGGTTCTGTCCACAATGGATCTCGATTTCACGTTCAGTCAAGCAAAGCTTGCACTGCAGCCCCCAATGCCGGTGAGTGCCTCAATGTTGACAAATTCCCCAAAGATTCCGGCAACTGGCTCAGCTCATTGCTCTCCGCAGAAAAGTCCCTCAATTGCGTTTCACGAGTGGCACACAAACATCATTCACAGGTGCAAACCTGAAAACAAAGGACAAAGATAAGAATCTATCATCATCTATGGTCGCGTGACCTAAAGGTTTTCTTGTTGAAAGAACCTGACCTCTTTCTGCCTCAAACCTGTACATTTCAGCCACATTCGAGCAGCAAAGGAAGCCTCACAAACACAGGCAGGCAAGGAACGTCAAATTGGCAAGTCCACCCAAAGACTCTGGCAATGATGTCAATGTGTTGTTCTGCAGATATAGTTCCCTCAGCAACAACCCAGCTGTGCCGATCTCACCTACGTTTGCCCTTGGATCGGCCCTGGTCCATGTCTCGGTTTTACAAAGTCCCCTGCATCTTCATCTTCAAGGGGATCGAAAGCAAATACGGACGCTACTAGGAGCAAGGACGCTTCAAGGGGATCAAAAGCAAATACCCCTAAAGGAGTCGACGTCAACAAGAAAATGTGGACGTCAACTATCCAAAGGATCAGGTTGTTCTTCCTTTTTTTGCCCGCTCCCCCCTCCCTACTTCCTCCCAACCTAGTAGCGATGGCCTCCAACCTAATAGCAATGTATCCAAGGGTCAGGTTTGGGAAGAGAAGACGTTTTCTTATGCTTTCCTTCCAAGACACCTCAAGTTCTCCAGGCGTCCCAGAGATTCGGGCACGGATCTCAAGTTGTTGTTCTGCAAGTCGAGCATCCTCACTGACCCGCGAAATACTGGCACACAGAAAACATGTGTTACACAATGTTACACATGCATAAGCCTCTACAAGCTTGCAACAAGAACAAGAAGCTACTAGTAACAGGTGCCACGCTAGTAGTAACAAGTGCCTTACTAGTACTTTAATTTAATTCTATTTTAATTCTAATAGCTTTTTTGTTACTAGTAGTAAGGCACTTGTTACTACTAGCGTGGCACTTGTTACTAGTATCTGACACAGGTACTTCTCGATTTGTGAGCGCCATGTTTTCACGCTCGTCGGTCTCAAATCAGATCTGTATGACCGGGGGAGTTTCAAGCTTTAATGGAATGCTCCAAATGTTCGATAACTGCAAGTAAAACACTGTATAGTAGCGATGGCCTCCAACCTACTAGCGATGGCCTCCAACCTGAAACACCAAGCAAACATCACAAGTGTGTCAAGAGATGTACAGGCTCTAGACGGCCAAGGCATTCACGAGAGGTGGGACCAGCTCAGCATAAAGCAAAAGCAGACCAGCGACGGCACAAAAAATCACCAAACAAGAGTGGAACAAACGCGAGACTTCCAAACATGAGGCTACAAAACGATCCCCTTCAAAGTCAGACACATGCCGCAAGGGCTGCCTGCAAGAGCGAACAAAGACATTGCCATTTTGCTTAAGACCTTGAGACCTCTTTCTTCCTGCTTGTATGGTGTTCTTTGTTGGTGTTTGCAACAAACAGCTTTCGAATACTGCCGCCTATGATTTTAATTGCTACGTTTGGCCCTCTTTGCGAGCTGGTCTCACACACTTTTGCCAAGGTGCTTCAATGTCGACAAATTGCCCAAAGACTCGGGCAAGGAGTTCAGGCCATTGTTGCCCAAGGAAAGT